CGGGGCTGCGGGTGGCCCCCGACTTGGTCCCGAAACGGCCGGTATTTGCCTGCTGGCTACAGCCCCTTTGGTGTCTGCCACCAAACACAGATGGACCGTGAGGAAGGGGCGAAAATGTGGGGCCACAAGGTGTTCCGGGCTCCCCGGGAGATGTGATGTGTTCGCCCGCTCGCTGCAGGGTCCCTGTGGCGACAGCAGTGGCCTGAGGGCTCGGTGACAAGGGGCTCACTTCCATCATGGACAGGAGGTGATTTCTATCCCCAAAATCCCTGATTTTTGATGGTCCCAAGCCACAGGTATGAATTCGGAGGTGCATGAGTGTGGGTAGATCTCCCCTGGAGCCACACAGGAGGCGAAAGGCCAGGGAACTCAGGAGTTTTGGGGAACACACGGACCACATGCAGCTCCTTGGAGAAAAAAGGTTCCATTCTCATAGGATGGTGGAATTTTCTCACTGGGAGAAGCGGACCCAGCTGTGGTGAACAGCTGGTTTACAAGAGGCTCTGATGCAGCCAGAGGCACCCTATGAAAGGCCTGGGGAGCAGAAAACCAGTAGGAATATCAGCGCTACAGCCCCGTGGCACTCACCTTTGCTCCCGGCTCCCGCAGATGAGCAGCAGCACCCGCGCCCTGTCCTCTCCCGTGGCTCCCAGCACAGCTCCCAGGCTGTCCACGGCACCCGGCCTCACAGCCCTCACCACCCCGGATGGCTCCGCGCTCGCGGCCGCCCACAACGGCTCCCAGGGCAGCGGGCAGCTCTTCCTGTGCACCACGACGGCGCAGGTCATCTCTGGCTTCTTCGTGTGGTCAGCGCTGATCCTCACCTTCCACCAGGTACCAGCAGCGCCTGGGCTAACGCTAGGGTAGAACCTATTGGTCACCTATGGGCTCGTTGCAGTTGCTCTTGCCCCTCTGTCAGCCCCCAGTAACTATTTCCCTGTGCTGGCACTGGTGCCCTAGTGCTGCTGGCTGCAGTGGGGACAGTGCCAGGCTGGTTGGGATGTCCCTGGTGTTTGTGGCCCGGGAGGGTTGGCTTTACCTGCAGGAGCTTCCTGCAGCCGGGACAGAGTCGGGGCCTCACACGGCCTGAAGGCAAGTGCTGAGCTGGAAGCTCTGCCATGTTTCTCACCACGGTGGTGTGCTGGATGTCCGCGCCTCTGGGCACCCTCTGCGTGTTGCCCCAAAATGCCATGCCAGAAGGTGTGTTTTGGGTGTCGTTGTGGTCCTGCATCACTGAACACAGTGGGATGGTGCCAGAGCAGCATGGGCACCTCCAACAGCCAAACTCAGCCCGGACCCCTGTGGTGGCCACTTTGAGTGTCTCATCCCGGGGAGAGGTGTGGGGTGGAAAGGAGGGAGCCGGAGGAAGACAGTGCAGGAGGAGCCTCCTGCAGCGCGGAGGCCGAGGGCAGGGTTTTCCTCCTCCCGGGGCTACAGGCTGGACGTTCTGCCAGCGACGCCCTTCTTTGCAGATCTACATGCACCTGAGGAACTACACCGTGCCCAAGGAGCAGCGCTACATCATCCGCATCCTCTTCATCGTGCCCGTCTATGCTTTCGACTCCTGGCTCAGCCTCCTCCTCCTCGGGAGCCACCAGTACTACGTGTATTTCGACTCGGTGCGCGACTGCTATGAAGGTGAGCACAGCAAGAATGCTAATGGCAGAGCAGGGCTGCTCTCCTTGGTGCTCCACCTGGGTCCCTGGAGCATCTGGGCATTGCACAAAGTCATAAATCTTCTCCATATCTCTCACATCTTTCTTGCGGAGGCTTTACCCTACCTTGCCCTTCAGCAGCATGTCCAACTGCAAGGGTGAGCTGCAAGAACTTCTCCCTCTAACTCACAGTCCTGCCCAAATGTCTTTTCTTTTTCGTATGGTAAAAAAACTGAGTGTCTAGTGACATTTGGGGTAACAAGGGAAGTGACCTATGGACAAACATGATCCGGTGCTTCTCAGCCACCTGCCAGGCTCAAGGGAGCACAATGTCTGCTTATGCTCCACAGAGAAGGGTTTTTCTGGCTCTCTTTGAGGTAGAAAAACCTAAAGCAGAAGGCAGAGCTGCCTGGGGTGCATAGCTTTACCTAAGAAATTGGGAGATCTGGGATGATTTGAGGTGCAGGGGGAGCTCGTGAGAGTTGCTGGTCTTTGACCTTGTTGCCCTTCCACTGGGGAAGGGAATGCTGTGGGCACAGGTATTATGTGGGGTTTGGAGCAAGGGAGCATGAAAAATAAGTGATGGGAATCTAATAAAACTCTGTTGTGGTCACTGAGCAGGAGGAGAAGTGAACTCACAAGCTATGGAGAGCATCGCAGAGGCAGTTTCTTGCTTCTCAAGACCAAACAATCTGCTCTTTGCTGGGTACTAGCTGCTCAAGCTGCCCTTTGGTATTCCCAAGATTCTTCCACGAGGGTTTTCTCTGGCCAGTGCATTTCAGCCCTGCCTTGTGTAGCTGTGCATGAGGACAGCTCTGCAGCAGCAGGCACGAAGGGTCTGTGCATGCAGGGCAGTTCTGCTGGGTCGGCAACCAGTGCACCGAGCACATGGGAATGTGAGTCCGGCTCTGCTCGGAAGCGCCTGCTGTGCTGAGCAGGTGCTGCAGATTTGACCTGCGATTCCTTTCGCTGGGCTGCCACGCACGTGGACACTGACCAGTGTCACAAATGCTCGAACTCTGCCTGGATGTTGTGCTGGGAGTGGGTGAGAAAACACCTCAGCAGAAAGGATGTGCCATGTAATGTAATAGCCCCCTGGTTCTCCATCAGCCCTGCTGATCCTGTCTGTCCTTGCCAGCTTTTGTGATTTATAGTTTCCTGAGCCTGTGCTTTGAGTACCTTGGCGGCGAGAGCACCATCATGACGGAGATCCGAGGGAAGCCCATAGCGTAAGTCATGGTGTGCCGCGAGTTCCCTGCCCCTCCACCTGCTCTCCCCGTTAACCAGCCCCCGTGGCTTCTCCCTGCTTTTTCCTTCCAGGTCCAGCTGCTTTTACGGGACGTGCTGCCTGCAGGGCATGTCCTACTCCATCGGATTCCTGCGCTTCTGCAAGCAGGTGGGTAGCGGGCAGGGAGCCCTCTGGGGTGGCCACCTCCGGGTGACTCCCTTCCCGGTGCCTCGCCAAGGGGCTTCTGAGCTCTTGGGAGATGCTCATTTTTTCCCTGAGAGGGAGGCAGCTCTCCCAGCGCGCGGGCGCCCGGCCAGCAGCAGGGCCCGCGCTGGCTGTCCCTGCCTCTGACTCACTGCTGAGTCAGGGACCCTCCCACTGCAGAGCTCAGATTGTATCTCTGTCCAGGCCCGGGTTAGCCCGGACAGCTTCCTAGCTCCCCAGGGCTGCGAGCTGAGTCCTGGCACTGCCGTATCCTCAGGCCACCAGCTCTCACCCCTGCAAATAAGAGCTTTGTGGCGGCTCTGGGGCATAGCCCTGTGTCTGGATCACATTCCATGCTGTTTGTGGTGGTGGTCACTCCTGTGCGCTCAGTTTAAGGCAGCCTTTCTGTCCCGGGAGGGAAGAGGTTGGCAGCAAGCTCTGCTTCCAGCCATCAGGACACCCTCCTGCCTGGTGCTGAACAGTGTCTCTCTCCTCCGCACAGGCCACATTGCAGTTCTGCATTGTGAAACCCCTCATGGCCATCGTCACCATCATCCTGCAGGCGTTCGGGAAGTACCATGACGGGGACTTCAAGTGAGAAGGCTGCGCCCGGGGTTCAGGGAGGAGGGTGTTCACCTCCCATGGGTGCAGGGAAGGATGGGTCCTTCCTGCATCCCCAAAAATGGACCCCCCGCCTTCTGCAAGCAGTTCCCTGGGCTGTGCCTTCCCTCTCTCCAGCTCCTGGATTGAAGCCATGTGCTTCCCAGAAATCCCTGTCCTTGGTGTGGCATCCTGTTGGTTGTGAGAGCTCCAAAAGCCATGAGGGCAGCCCACTCCTTCCCCAGCTCCTGCCTTGCAGCACAGCCCAGCTCTGTGCAGCTGCCAACCTTGAGATGCCACAGCCAAGTGTGACTGGGGCGTCTGTGCCTCTTGCAGGAGCTGCGGCTTCTCCTGCAACTTCCCCCTTCTTCCCTCCTCAACTTCCAGTGACTTTGCAGCTGGTCGCACTCACTGCGCAGTCCAGGGCACCATCGCTCTCTCTTTGCAGTGTCCACAGCGGCTACCTCTACATCACCATCATCTACAACTTCTCCGTCAGCCTGGCCCTTTATGCCCTCTTCCTCTTCTACTTTGCCACCATGGATCTCCTACGCCCCTTCAAGCCAGTGCTCAAGTTCATCACCATCAAGGCAGTCATTTTCCTCTCCTTCTGGCAAGGTGGGTCCCTGCCATGGGTGTCCAGTGCTTTTCCTCTCATAGCACTACACTGTCTGGGACCTGCAACCCAGGGGTGCATGACAGAGCTAATCCCTCTCCATCTTCCTCACAGGGACGTTGCTGGCAATCCTGGAGAAATGTGGGGTGATCCCTGAAGTCCAGATTATTGATGGGAAGGAAGTGGGAGCTGGGACAGTGTCTGCTGGCTACCAGAACTTCATCATTTGTATTGAGATGTTTTTTGCCTCCATTGCTCTGCGCTATGCGTTTACGTGCCAGGTGTATATAGAGAAGAAAGAAAATTCAGCAGGTAACTCTCCCTCTTTTCCATCTTTCCCTGGTAAATAAGGAAGGAAGAGAATCCTCTCACAGCATGGAAAAAAACACTAGAGGAATTTCCTTCTCTTACACTCCGTGAGATTCCTCTCCTTCTTCCCTTGTTGCATCCATGAGACACAGTGAATGAATAAGAATAGGAAGCAATCAGAAACAGGGAAATTTTGGTACATGCTGCTGGAGAGGGTCCATCCTCTTAAATATGACTTGGAAACATGGAACTGGGGTTGCCTTCCTTGCCACCTCTGTCCCATAGCGAGACATGGCCCTTGATGGGGGCCGTGATCTCCAGTTTCTAAGGCAACCAGGCTAAAAATGTTCCTTCAGTCAATAGGCTCGGAGCGCTCAGACTGTCACCTGCTCCTTTCCGACCATGTCCTAGGGCTTTAGCGATGGGTTCGAGCCCTGTCTTCGTCCCTTGCTCTACTCCAGCTGCCTGTGGCTGGTGGACCGTGTCTGCTGTCTCATCACTGGCCCGTCTGCTCTCCTTGTTTTCCAGCAAACCTTGCCCCATTGCAGAGCATCTCGAGTGGGCTGAAGGAGACCATGAGCCCCCAGGATATCGTGCAGGACGCGATTCACAACTTCTCGCCCACGTACCAGCAGTACACCCAGCAGTCGATGCAAGACGCGGAGCACAAAGCGCCCGGGGAAAACGGGCATGTGGTGGCCAAGGCAGAGGGACTGAGCGGCAAAAAGAGCAAAAACATTGAGAAAAGAGTGTTGATCCTGTCAGACGAGGAACTGTAGGAGACACCAGAGGGGACAGCGACAATGGAGAGGCTTAAAGCCATGCGAATGGGAACAATCTCAAGGCTGTGACAAACTGGTCTAATCAGAGCACAAAGACAGTAAAGGAGATAGGCCAGGGTAGCTTCTTAACCTCCTCAAAAAGCCGGTCTCTTCGAGTGAAGAGGGAAAAGTTCAACCAAATAGTGCCAGCTTCTACTGTCCCACCTCTACTGGTATCAGAGGTGGAGCTGGTTTTGCTCCATGACTTGGCCTGTGCTTTGTTGCCCACTGGCAGTGTTTTGTTGCCGCTCTCATGCCTGTATCCACACTCCAGGGATGCTGAATGTAGCTCCTGGGCATCCCTGTAAGTGCTGTAAGACGGACTTGCTGCTCTCACCCTCCTCTTGTCTACAAAGGGTGCTGGGACCTGAGAGAAATGCTTTTCTCAGCACAGTCCTGCTCTAGTTTCTCTTGATTTCAGTAAAAATGTTCTCTAAGGACTTTTTGGAGAAAAACAGACCAGCAAGGTGACTTCACTTCACCTCAAAACCCGGTAACGTTTTAAAGATGTTGTTCCTTACTTTTATATACTCCCTACATCCCATTCCCTCAGACAAGTCTGAGGAGTTGTGTAGAAGACACAGCTTGTCTTATTGGAAGGGTTGGTTATCCTTTTCTCTCTCCTGATGAGGATGCAGCTGCCTGAAATAGTGATTCCCCTGGGGAGGGATGGTAGGACCATGCTCAGGGCTAGAGCAAGGCCTTGCAACTGTGTTTGAGAGCTGTTGGTGACAGAACCTCTCTTGTTTGTGTCTAAACTGACTATCTCCAAAGCGATCTGAAGTTAAAAGGGATTCCAGTTTCCTTATCGGAGCGGTTATTAGGGAACCAGACTGTGACTGGTGCTGGTAGGAATGTTCTTGCTGGAAACTGTCTGTTCTTCCTAACCCCTTTCTATTTATCATCCCTATCGCCACATTCAGAAAACAAGTGTTGTAGCTAGATGCATCCCAGCCACGCATCTGGGCTGAGCACCAGCAGAATTAGTTCATGTCGAGCCAGAAACACGTGAGCTGGTAGCACCAGGGCTGCACGTGAGCCACTGCTTGGCACTTCTTGCACCTGGAGGCTTTGCTGGCGTCGGTGGGGACAGACCTGGCCGCTCGGGGCAGCGCGGCTTGCAGGAAGCGACACGCGGTCACGAAGAGCGAGATGGATTTCCCCCGCATCGAGCGGTGGTAAAGAGCACACATTCTGTGAAACTTCCTCTGTGTGGGTTTTTCTTTTTTTCCTCGGGCTAGACTAAAACCTAAAGCTGCTAATCAGATGATTTCTGGGAACTCAAGTGGGAACTGGCTAGAGTACTGCTGCGGGGTGGGTGAAGCTGGGGAGTGGAAGGACAAGGGCAAGTTAACAGCCTCAGATTTGCAATCATGCGGCAACCAAGCCGATGGGTACGGCTTATAGCTATTTTACACTCAACTCCCACCATTTTGGCTTGTTTTTCTTGTTCCGCTCTTGAGCTGAAAAGTGTAAACTGCAACCACAAATTATTTTATTTATGATTTTTTTCTAATAAAGAGCAGTTTCTACTTAAGACTGAACAAGTGTTTTCATTTTCTTACCTCAGCGAGCAAAGCCCATAATCTGCCTATTTCTGCTCTTACACTCAATATCCTCCCTGCCTCTTGATGCTGGGGCAGCAGAAATATCTGCACAGGCAGCATCCTGCACATCTCAGCATTCCCGAGGTCTTTGGTGTTCCTCTTTCTCACTCCTTCCCCAACTCGTGTTGCGCCTGACCCCCTCCCAAGCTGTGAATGCAGCAGCTCAGAGCTGAATTCCCTTTAGCCAGGCTGAGCACAGATTCCACCAGCGATGACACCAAGTCTATTTATTATTATCGGAGAAATCTTATAATGCCGGAAGACTGGGATCAACAACACAGGCAGCCAGTAGCTAAGCCAGTCCTACCAGTCCCTCTGCTCTCAAGAGCGGCTGCTCATACCTGCTTGGCCAGACCGCTGTCACGTTTTCCGCGAGCAGACCCATAAACAAGTCACACACCCCGTAAATGCAGGCGCTGGGAGCAGGACCCTCCTGCCTGTGACGTGCAGCTTCAGCGCTCGGGGCCGAGGCCGCTCGGATTTATAGCGCAGCCAGCAAGGAAGCAGCAAAGTCCCCGAGCTGAACGTCACGGTCTCCTCGGCGCGAGGACAGCCTGCCAAGGTGACAGGGGCACATCTGCCGGCGTGCTCGCTGCCGCCGAGATAAAGACTTGCACAAGAGCACAGCGAGAAACGCAGTCGTACTTCATTGCACAAATGATCGACTCCGGTGCGTAATGGGCTGCTTTCATTGCTCTTGCCAGCAGGTGCAATTCCCACAGCAGACAATAACCATTGCCTATTTATGTCAAGCCCTGATTACTGTGTTATATGTAAAACAGGCCTTCCTCACAAGCAAAACAAGAGGGAAATAAAAGATCAGCTGTAGCTCGTGCAAGGCGGCAGAGCGATAGCGGCCTGAAGGAGCCGCGCTGGGCTGGACCCCGCAGCCCCCATCGCAGCAGCGGGCAGAACATCCTTGTTCGGCCGGCGCGAGCTTGGCTGCCTGGTCTCATCCTGGGAGAGGTCCAGGCACTGTCACCACATCCACATCATTACACTGTCCAAATGCATCCACAGACAACAGAAATACCTACGGTGTCAGGCCGAGCATCTTCCCCAGCAGATACGGGAGATGTGTGCTCTTCTGCTCGAAAACCTCCCTCTTCTTAGCAAAAACACAGCAAAAGCCAGAGGTAACGCGTGTGGGTGACCTACACACATGCCCGTCTTTGCGCATGGCGCCGCGCCATGGGCAGCTCTGGAGGAACAGGCATTTCCCCCTGCTGGCAGCAGGCTCGGGTGGTCGGCAGGCCCAGCGCTCGCTCATCCTCCTGTTTTCCCTGCGGGCCGGGCTGTGGCTGGGGGCACTTCCCA